GTAAATACCATCATTGATATTCATTTAGAACGCTTTGGTGACGAGATAAATTGGTCTTTTTTTCATTCTAAAAAAGAAAATCGAAGCCAAATTATTTGGAAATGGCGTGTAAGGAAGCAGCTAAGCGATACGGTTCTCACGGTAAAGTTCAGTCACAAAGAACGGATTCTTTTCTGATGGAAAAAAAAAAAGAAAAAAGAATTCTAAAGTAAACTTGCGTTCCGTTACGAGTTCTTTTTCTTGATATCGCAAACAGTCACGTAGTGTAGTCTGTCAGCCTTTTGTCTTGTTTTTTTTTAAAAGCATAAATCTTTAAATTTGTTTGAACTCAAACAATAAGATTTCCACCGGTTGTTGTGTTTTTTTGTCGCAAAATTTATTGTTCATGCAAAATGGTTTGTCTTTTTACTTTCGTTTTTAGACGCGCGTTTTGAAAAATACAACTGATATTTACTTATGGTGTACAGTGCGTAGTGCGTGATCAAGCATTGTTTAAATGTCGTATGAGCGAAATGTGTTTAGATTTCTAATCGCATTAGCTTAATGAGTGCTCAATTAAAAATAATATTTCAGAATAATTTTGCTTTCGTATGTGTCGAAAAGAAGGTTTAATACATTTAATTTTTACCAAACGACATTGAATCAAACAATTTTAAGTTTGCTTTATTTATATTGTTTAAAAATATATTTCTACCCAGACGATAATGTTTTGCAAATATATAACCAAGTAGAATGGCAACACTGTAGTTAATTTAAAGAAAGAAATTCTTTAAAATTAAACAGAAAAACTTTCGATAAAGATCGTTTGACAACTAATTTTGTTTCTGAAAATAAACATCCTGATTTATTTATTATTTATATATGAACATGTTTTATGAATGTATGCTATTTAAAATTAGCTGAAGTAACTGTTCTTTGCCGGATTTAAATTTTTAAAAGTAAAGTTCAAAAGTCTAAAAGTTTTTAAAAAATAAAGAACATTTTAATGAGCGCAAAACGGGTGCAAGATAACATATCCAAAAGCTTAAAATATTTTTTAATGAGAGTAATTTCTTAATACTTGAAAATTTTTTTTAACGGATTGCAATGTGACCTCGTAAAGAAAAAAATAATTTAGTAGATATGTACATTTGATTAAAATAAAAGAAATACAAGTACCAAAAACTTAAATAGAAATTAATGAAAAAATAATATGATTACTGGAATTACTTTAAAGTTATAACACAAACAGAAGGCGTCCAAAATAGTCTTTGCTTGAAAAATAATGTTACATTGTATTTCGATCTGAATTAAAAATGTATAAATTTTCATCTCTCTCTCTCTCTATATATATATATATATATAAATGGATGTTTGTAAAAATGAAATCGCTTTACTCCAACACGTTTCAACCCACCACTATGAAAAAATTGGCATGGATGTGTATTTTTTTGTAGAGAAGGTTTTTGTGCTACCCTCTTTGTTGCAGCTCGCCACCAGGTGGCGCTACAGTATATCAACTTCTGCACCGTTCAATCAATTCCTAAGTTACCAACATAGTCGCCAAAAAGGACGCCAACTTGGCTCTATCACCAACATTTCACTATGTTTCCGTTGAGAATCGCCATTATAATGTAAGGAACGGCATTGCTTGCGAATATTATAAGTTTAACATAAAATAAATTAACAGAAAGTAATATTAACGTATTACACATCCAGATATAAATTATTTACACTATTTTAAGCGTTCATTACACAAAATTTGTAACAGTGCGTTACTTTTGCTGAGCAGAGATTAGATTAGGAAGGTGTTTTCAAAAATCGACCCACAAGAGAATTACAGGGCGTTTTAAATAAAAAAAAAACTTTTATCAGCTATTAGACCTTCAGACTTTAAATTTAATAAATATGGTTTTTTTGTTCAGCTAAGATATGCAAAAAGCTTTTTTGTTTTGTTTAATTTGCAATTCAAGTAAAATTAATTCATCAAAAACTTATTTATCGTTTAATCTGTATTTTTTTAATTTTTCAATTCGCCCGTGCGAAGAACGGGTATAGCAGCTAGTCAACTTAAAATAGATAAAATAATCTTAGTTTTCTTAAAATTGCTATCAAAAACAGTACAAAGGCAGAAATGAAAACACAAACCATGTGTTACTTGTTGCCAAATCTAAAATTTGACTGTTGAAAAAATATTTTTTCTCATGCTGATTCACTCAAAAAAGAATTATATCCCTTCTATAGAGAACAAGCAAATTGATAAATGCAACGATAACTAAATACTACAATAATAATAATTAAACGATATTTTTACAAAAAATGATATGTCGCAATCAAAAACAGACGCTACATAATATTGCCAGAGCAATAAAGAATTGTTTTCAAATTGAATTTTTAAAAAATCGTTATCGAGAGAGAGTTTTGACAAAATTTCTTCCAGATTCATCAACCAACAGCTTCAATGTACCAAATTCTCGCACATCTAATCTTTCCACTTTAGTATCTTACTGCACGTACACACACATACTCTTCCTGTTATCAGTATAGATGTGAAAGTGCTTGTCAGTTGTCATATGATAAATGCAATCACGTGATCTCCATTGAATTCAAAACAGACATTAGACTCGTAATTATTGTACTTGTAACGTTTAGAGAAAATTTCTAAATTTTGATAATTGTGCTAAGATTGCTCAAATATTAAAATACTTCAAAAAGCTTTTGAAAGTTTAAAAAAAAATCAGAAGAAAGTTTCTGAAGAAAGCAAAACTTGGCAAAAACGAAGTGCATGAACTGATTGGCTGGAAAACGCGATTGCACTTATCACGTGACTATGACGTCACGTGAATTCATCCCATTGTTTTGAGTAAGCTGAAATGTTAAGCCTAGTTGGTTGTTTCGAATTTTCTGAGCAGCAAAAAATCACTCAGGTCTTATACGAAACAAGACACAAGCATTTGGGCTAAATAATTTTTAACAAATATGAATATATTTGTGGTTCAGAAAACTGCTAAAATAAACCAATAACTACACAAATTCATGATTCACATTACAAATATTTTAAACTTTTATAATACTTTAAACTATTCTATACTTCAATCGTTCAACACACACATTCCCTTCTGATTCCAAACCGAAATACCAACTTTAATTTTAACTGGTGCTAATTCTAGTAAACATTCGTCTTAGATTTTAAAAACCACCATTTGAATAATTGCCAATGATTTAGATTAATTAATAACGTTGTAAGTTTTTCCCCCACAAGTGCGAGATATGCAAAGGATTGATTGAGATGCTGTGAAAAACAGTTCTTTTCCAGTTCTTTCTGCAGCATACTAATACGTAATATTATCAATCATCTTGATTACAATGGATTGTGTAAGAAGAGAAGCTTCTGCATTATAGATGTGTTTTCTTATATAGTTCGTCGATATCAAATTATTCAATCTCACAGCAAATCCTCTTTAAATCCAAAGTGATAAGTAAGACAAGATAAGTAGTATAATTTTTTTGGCCAGAAGAGATTAAGGTAATGATTGTTCAATAAATTTGACAACTCAATTACTTTTCTCGGTAAGGGATCAGAGATATAAATCAATCAATCGACATCGAACAATGAAATTCGTTGTAAGTCGATACAAATGGGGGGTACTTATTGAACAATAATCCTGTAAAGGATAGACAGATTTTACTTTCCTGTGTGTGCGTGTGTTAATGTCTTAAAGATAAGAAAGTATTCCTCCAAGTAAAAATACATTGAGTGTGTTGCTAGCTTTTATTTTATGTATGTTTTTATGAGATGACGACAATTCAAACAAGGTAAAAAGTTTCTGGTGAGTGTATAAAGATTGAAAAAAATGATTACCAATGCATTTAACTGACAGTCGGAGCTCAATTCATTATCTACAGGACTGGAGCAATATATGCGACTTCGTGGGCATACAAATTATAACCCATCTTAGAAATCTAGTCAAGGGAAGGGAAGTCCACTTTCAGTGGATTCCCTCCCATGTTAACATCCAAGGGAACGATGCTGCAGACATCTTGGCTAAAAGAGGTTGTTCTGAGCCTCTCAACCGGGACTACACACTACATATAAAGAAACTTTCTCTATAAAGAAAAAAGCATTCAGACAAGACTGGCTCACCCATCCTTGGTTCAGCAGGAAGACCCCGGGTGAAGCGTTAGAATTTGGAGGTGACAGAAATGATCAAACGGCCATCTCAAGACTCATAAGTGGACATTTAAAAAACATGACATTTGTCTCGGGACGCAAAGTCTTTTCATTGTGCAAAAAATGCAATCTGAAGCCGGCATCCCCCGATCACATCCTGGATTGCTTGGGGTTCGCTCTGGTGGATGTTCTCTACTGGTGCTTGACTTCGCTAGAGTTCACGGTATCATGGATCTGATCTAGCTGCCGCTAGATCTCTGAGGGATTAGAAACAACAACAACAAATGCATTTAAAATTTCCTCCACCTAGGGACGTTTCAAGACATGTGCAAACTGGGCCAGGATCAGGGGCTTCGGCTTGGTACGGGGGTGGAGGTAGGGCTTGCCTTTTCTCGACTCGGTCTCATGATTCAAATTATTTCAATCACAAATGTTATTACCGGACATATTCTCCAAAAACTGAGAATTTCGAACAATAGGTGCCAATTGGCCATCCTTGAGTAGGCTTACCATCATACACCAGCATTCTTCCTTTAGTCGAATGACGTCCCTTGGTTTTGTGTCTAGGTATGATATTGTGAGTCACACACATCCGTTTGTTACAGGTTATGGTTTGAACTAGTATGTGACAATGTATGCTGTCTACTGTCTACTGAAAAGGATCACGAGTGAGGCCTATTCTTGCTTAGAAGCCCAGAGCCTCAAGAAGTCTTAAAATGTCACCGAGTATGATAAATAAATGCATGCTATAATCACAATATGATGTCTAAGTGTCGTAATGGAAGCGCTGAGTCATCCCTTAGTGTGAGAGGGTCGGAAGGAAGATTAGCCATAGTCGATACAAACAGGCCATTTCAGATGGGATTCGAATCCACTACCTTTGGATTATAAGTCCAACGCGTTACCCATTGCTTTTCAGGGACAGAACGAACGGTTTTCCTTTTTATAAATGCCATTGGACTATTCTTTTTGTTTGTTACTATTTATTAATTTTTTAATTTAATTAAGGAATTAATATTTGAAAAAACTGCATTGACATCAAGTGTCATACACTACAAGTTTAAAAAAATGTATTTGAACTTGAATGGATGAATAGAAAGTATTTTATTAACGACTGAAAATCGTAACAATATATATATATTTACATTTACATATACATATATATATACATATAGGGAGAGAGCGAACTGTGGTAGGAATTGAAGAATGCAGCTTGAAAGTATGGATGCGCGTTATACACCGGTACGTGTTTATACGCCGGATTTTACGGTACTTCGCATTCTTTTTAACATATTTTTTAATTTGTTGTGGCAGAAAAAAAATGCTTTAATAAAAAAAGTCGTTTGCTATGATGACAATACTGTTCTATAAAAAAGTTGTGGTAAAGCTGGTGAAACTAATTCTCTGGATTCTGTAACAGCCCGGTAGGTTAGAAAAATGTGTTGATCGTAAATGAATATAATAAAATCATTTTGTTAAAACAAAAAAGATCATTAATTTGTACTCATCGTTCAATGTACTTCATTCCAGGATAACTGAAAATAATCATTTAGCCTACATGTTTCATTAAACTAGTATTAATTTTAATCGAACATTTAGTGCAACAGTATGTAATCCCTCTTTTGAAATTCTAAAAACATCAATCTTAAATGCATGTACTCATACTGCGGCCATCTTATTCGATTATTTCTCTTTTCTACAAGTGAAAAGAGTGCAACTTTTGTCACCGGTCAATGGAAAGGAATCGTGCTCGGGTTCTGCGTGATTTTCCCTCTACTAAATTGTTTTGTCAGGTGAACCGCTTACTACGACACGCTTTTTGGTTGCTATGGTACAGTATCAAAGTTCATTACCTTATGTAGCCAATTAGTAGACGAAATTCAAGAGTTCTTTTTTTAAAAGTGATTTTTTTCCCGCTGTAATTTGGGGTTAACTGAAAATTCGAGAGTTTTACTCTTGTGACACTATAAACTAACGATTTGTAAATGTCAATCATTGCTTCTGAATTACATCTTGTCTCTTTCTGATTTTTAATAGGGGGAAAAAAAGAGTTTTATAAATTAAATGTATAGCTAATAAAATGTTTTCCTGTGAGCATTAGTTATAAGTTTGATGTTATCTGCATACATTTTTGTCGATTAAGATGTTATTCATTGGCGTAGCTATCTGTGAGGGGGCCCTGTTTCAAAATTCCTTCGGGGGCCCTTTTTAGATATGGGAGCCCTGTTAAAGGGGCTGTAGTTACACATGCTGGGGCCCCTGTAGCTTGGGAGCTCCGTATCATTAATACGGTGGTAGCTACGCCCCTGATGTTATTATTGGTTCTCTTAGTATGTTTAAAAAAACTCTATAAAAATAAAAAGAAATTAAAATATTTTTTAAACTATTGAAGAAATTTTTTGAAATTTTCTTTTTTTACAATACAAAATCAAATAGTGTTGTAAAATTTGGAATTGGTTTTTTAGTAATAATGTTATTTAAGTTCTCCTTAGGGAAATTGAGACAAGTACCTGAAAAAACTGATTACACATGTTGAATCAACCAGAAAATGCAGCCATTTACTTCAGCAAAAAAAAGTAAAAGAAATTTTTAGAAAAAGATGCAAAAAACGCCATGTAAACTGATAAGAATCAGGCTGTTTTCTTAACTTTTAATCTTTTCCATCCCCCCTCCAACTTCCATGATGCATCGATCGGTTATACTTTGACCTCTAAAACAAATTCAAAATTGTTTGCAGTCCAGGAACTAAGTGGATGAACCACGAAATTGAGAAATTTAAACAGGGTTTGTTCTATCTCACCGCTTTTTCTTGCTCTTGTGCAACATATATACATTCTAACTAAAAAATACTAAGAAAAAATTAAATTTGTGGTTGTAAAAAAAGTAAGGAAATCATTCTAGAGCTACAGAGAGGCCACAAGTCCTCTGAAGATTGGATGATCTGACCTTGTTGCTTAACTGGAAAGGTGTGGCAACTGAGTGCACTTTATAACTACAACCGAAACACACACCTCTTTTTCTTTCATTTTTTCCCTTTCCCCTACAGAATATTTAATAATGAAACTCTACACTAGAGGTTATAGAATTTTAAAAAATGAAAGGTATCGTTTGTGTGTTGCGCAGTTAGCTCGTGGCCAGTGTTTGGCAATCCAGAATCCGTCTTAATTAGAAATAAATATGTTGATTATGCAAACCAGGTCACACCAAATAAGCAATACAAGATTTGAAAATATTTTTAAGGGGACATTGTACGATTCAACAAACAAAAATCGGTCAAAAAAATTAAATAATATTTTTTTAGTCTAAGTTATTTTTATGTATTTTTTTTTATAATCTCACAAAATTTGAAAGCTTTTCAAGTTAAAAAAAAAATTCAGAGCTACGATAACTTTTACGTTCGTTTTTATTGACATCCCAACGGTAAATAAAAACTTTAAACTAATTTATCTCAGAGAAAGAAAAAAATATTTATTTTATCTTCATTTAAAAGTCTAAGGTTTCTTTTCTATTGTGCCAAACGCTTTGATATTTTTTCTAACTATTGGTATTAGTATATGAAACAACAGTTGGCATGCAGTTTAAAAAAAACAATACTTATTTTTTAAAAATTTAATTTATACTTCAACTTAGAATTCATACATTGTTTTAAAAAATTTTCAATAAGCATCAAAAAATACTCTTAAGAAAGAGTATTATTGGGTAGGGTAGTCCAAAGTAAAAAGTTTTGAGAACAACCAAATCAATACTATTTTGGCCCATAACTAGACAATTACGCTGATTTAGTATGAGGTAAAAACATGGGCGTAACTACTGCCGATATCAGCAATATCCATGATACGGGACCTTAACATGTGTAGCTACAGTCCCATTTTAACAGGGTTCTAATATCTAAAGGAGGACCTCGAAGGAATTTTGATACAGGGCTCACTCAGAACTATGTATGTATGTGTGTGCCTGTGGGTAAAAATATCTATAATAAGCAAAACATACTAAAATATTTAAGGTAAAAATTTTCATAATTTCTGTTTGAAAAAATATATCCTATTTTCCTTATTTCCTATCGTTATCAATAAATTATATTCATTTTACTATTGTAAGAAATTTACAGATAAAAAATTTTATATGATATCAAGACAATTTAGAAGAAAAATACACCTTAAAGCTATAAAATTTGAGTAGAGGTAATCTATTTATGTGTGTGCGTGCGTTTCATTTCACGACTTGAGAGAGGGCTTTCTATTCATATTCATTTTCGTAGTTTAAACTTAAATATCATGGGCAAATGATCTCCATAATATTGTATTAAATTCCAATGAGCGAAAAAAGTTCAATAGATTTACAATGACCTTGAATAAGTCAAATTATGTAGCTTTAAGCTGTTGTCAATTAAAAATTCCAATATCATTTTTCAAAAATTGTAGATCAGAACTGTTTTTAGGGGGAAATCGAACCTTCGACATTGATACGACACTTCCTGAGACACTGTTCAATGTTAAAGACCTTTCACATTAGAATTCACATCAAGGCGTTCTTTGAAAAAAGTTACAGTTGAAGTTAAATTATTCAACAAAGAAACCTTGTCCCTAATTTTCAAGAATGATGGCTCGTGCAATGACAATTACATACACTTTAATCTAAAATGACATCTACAAAAGCTAGCCGTTTCCTTTCTTCTGTTTATTGTAGACGTCCGTTCGCGGTATCCTTTTTTATTCCACAGAACAATAGTTGCAAAATTTGCAACCACTTTCTTTATTATTTTTATTTTAAATGAAGGAGTTGAGTTGATGGTCTGCGTCTATCTCTTCACATCTTCCATCATTAATCAAAAATGCGTTATTTAGTCGATATGTGTGAATGTTAATCAAATGCTGGGTAAAAAAAAAATGGCGAACGTTCAACTCTCCCGATTCGTTTGCTATTCTGATGACACTTGTCGAAGACAGATAATTTAGTAGCTTTTTTCCCCCAACTTAGGACGCCTCATTAGGCCCCTTAAACTTTGTTTTATTTAATTAGATTTTGTTTTAAAACATCCTGTTTAAATTGAAGTAAATGACTTCGAATGTCGCGGTTCTATTTTTCCGATTTAATTTCGGTGGACAACATTCCAAATGAGTCATGACTACTTTTCTTTATTTTTTTATGAAATTAGATGTTTTTTTTAATAGTTAATATGTATAATATTATATTTTCTCTATGAATTTCAAAATTATTGTAAATGAAATTAATTTTGTATTATCCCAATGGAATAGCGCATTGAAATGAGTGAATGCGACTTTATTAAAGTCGCATTCGTAATTCTGAACCTCGGTCACGTGAAGAGGACACCTGAGGTGGCAATCCTCTCTCTAACTGCCACACCATGTCAAGGGGAGAACTTTAAGCTGTAACAGATTTAATGTGCATCACCCCCCTTTCTCCAGTGTCACTTAGACTTGAACGGCCACAAGTTCGTGACCATAACCACTAGACTATCACGGACATGAAACATATGGGAAGGGAGCTCTATTTCTTTTTTGAAAATATAACATACTAGCTGGTAAAATTTTGAGTATTTTTTGAAAAATCGTAAAAAAAAGGTTTTTGCTATTTTATTTTTTAAATGACTGTTTCTAAAAGAGAAAAAGTATGAACTTTTTTTAGTGTAGTATATCAATTCATTAACGCGAAAAGAAATTCGTACGGAACGATTTAGAAATCATTATCATAAAAACGCATCGATTTTGACTCATTTTAAAAGAAAGTCGTAAAAAATACAAATATTGTTATTTTGTAAAAAAAAATTATACCGTATCGTAGGGAAATAAATGATTTTTCCGTTTCTGTAATTATTTTTGTCTGAGTTTGATAGAAATAATTAGATTGTTATTTTAAAAACGTGGGAAAAGTCGGAACTTTACTCCGTTGAAAAG